TTCACAGGATATGTTGTCGCAGCGTATGTGTAACTCCTTTGTATAGAAGAACACAGGGCCAATTGCACTGATTTCGTACATACCATGAAAAACTACATATTGCTTTCAAACATAAACCCCACATATTTAGGGATGACATCAAAAGATCGATGTCGGATAAAAAACTTGTTTGCTTTAGTTTGGGGGTGGGGGGGTTTTGACCTCAAAAAGTTTCCATCTGACAAAAACGATTTTATTTTTTAATGAAGTCAAACAAATCTTGGAGTATTTGTAGTTGTTGTTTTTTCTATGCAATCACGGTCAAAAATTACAGAAAATGAAAAAAAACACATCTGAGACGAGAAAATCGTTTGGTCCGAGTGTAATATGTGTTTTTCTTTGTTATTGGCGCATTTGTATAGTCTTTTTACACCTACCCGACAACCAACTGCTTTGCCATAATACTGTCCGATTATCAATTTGTATTTAGTGGTGAATGTAGTCTGACGTCAGGATTTTAGTGGGGGGGGGGGGAACTAAAGGAATTAAGTTTTTTATCCTACATTAAACTTTTGATGTTGTTCCTTAGCTTATTCAGTAAAATTGATTCAAATACAGGTTTAAAATGCTGTGCTTTTCACATAACTAATGTGTGAGCAAACCTATTTCTAAAAAACACTTCACCGAATACTGTTTAGAACAAAGAAACAGTACTTTCCTAGTAAATGCTGCACAAAAGCACTATCGAAGTTTAGCGGACTGTTTCAACAATAACGATGAGCCAAAATGTGGTACCGCATTATTGTATGTAAAACATGTTTTGTGTAAATGCCAATCACTCATAAAATAACAGTGGAAGGGTTTGATCTTCAGAGGCATCAAAAGTCTTGATTCCAATGAGTTTGCTCAGTGTCTTTCGTTTGATATTTTTCATACCATTATTATAATTCCACTGCAAATTCTGGTCTTTAGTTCACTCTCAACTCCAAGGTTAAAACCTGTCAGTCATTACAATAAACTCTGAACGAACGGAGTTTTTGCCTTTAGTGTTCATACACTTCTGTAATTGATTTACAATGTGAATTCTATAAACTATAAACATTGATTTGATTTTATCAGTTTTGAAACATTATATTAAAACCTGTTGACTTGTCACTGAAATGGACAGTACCCGGTACTACCAGCACATGTTATTACATACACAGCTCATTGACGCTTCAGGTCGGTGTATTCTCCTACACTGATCTGACACATATTGCATAAGGAGTGCCGGAAGTGCGAGGAGTTTTTTCTAAACTTTCAAAGTCAATCCTCAGTCAGCTCATATTTAATGTATATATAAAATTGAGAGGTATTGTACAAATAAAATTGGCTCCAAAATTGTGTAAATCTGTAATCTGTTTATTCTGCTACCGGTAGTTCTTGGTTTGGAAGGCATTCCAAGCGTGATTTTATCTCAAGCTATTCAAAACCTGAAATTATGCAGGGAATTTCAAACACAAATTGTATATTCATCTGCTGTTCCAAAGATTGAATTATGTATGACATTAACGGTGTGTCTGAAGTTGATCATCTTCTTGAATACATTGATGATTCTTGCTTCTGAATAAAATAGAAATTAGACTTTCAATATAATTTCTCTGTTTCCAAACAATTGCTGATATCTTGATACTGACAGTGTACGCGTTGCCTGCAAAGTAATCACACTTGTAGAAGATGTCTATTTCAGCGACTCTAAGTCCACTGGTTGTCTACAAAACAATTGGGACAATATTTCTAACATCACAATGTGAAGCTAAAAAAAAACAATACAGAAGTGTATGA